AGTGCTGGAATTACAGATGTGAGCCACCATACCCAGCCTGCTCCCGAGGGATATGTTTCTGTCTGCAGTCAGGAAAACCAACCCAGGCCTGCAGGTGCATTGGGAGAGGAGATCGTGGACAATGTTTATTAGGATACTCAGTGACACCTTTCTCGGTACACAATAAAACTGTTACCAAACACTGGACAAGTTCCCCAAAACTGTTGTCCAGGGTCTCCCAAGGAATTTTGGAAGGAGATTCCATCTGTCGGGGAGGGGGTAGTCTCTGAAGGGGATTTGCCAGGAGGGATTCCCGATGATGCAGGGTACTTTTTCAGACTGACTTTGCTCCCACGGTGGGGAGTGGCTACTCATCACCATGTGCTTAGAAATGTATCCATTACTTTAAGGATTAGAGCTAATGAAACTGGTGCTGCTATCACAGCACAGCAAGTCTTTGGATTCTCTAGCTAAAGTTGTTTAGATATTGGGATAGCATTAGATTACCCACCGGTTGAACAAAGTCAGCTCCTCCTGTTGCACTTACATTAACACCGTGGCTGAAGTTGAAATGCACATGGATAAAATAAGAGAGCAAGTGTTATGGTGGCAACAGATAAAAGATTAGCTAGGATTGGGTGATTGGTATTCTGGACTGTTTTCTTGGATCTCACAAGGGATCCAATCTATATCTTCTATTATCTTTACATTTGGCTTATCTCTTGTATCGTTACTGTAGTTTATGTTTTCATTAATGTCATCATCAAATATGGATTAACATGCTGCTCCAAGACTATAATAGGTAAGAGCACCCAGATGATGGAATTCCAGAATGCAGGCTATGGGTCCGGCTCCTGCGAACACTTTCAGCTTCAAGTGGACAGGTTCCGTTCTTCAGTTTCCACACCTTTGCCCCCTTTCAGCAGGAAGTAGCCAGAAAAGAATGGCACCCCTTTTCCCGCATGAATGAGGAATGGAAAAGGATAGTGGCGATTTGTAACTGGGCCCCTTGAGATCTCGGCATCCAAGCGTTTTTAGTGACTGGAATAATGAAAATTCTGATCAGGCCCTTGTGTGCCTGCACTTGCTCTTTGCCCAATATTCTTTGTTCCCACAATGTGATTATAAACTGCTGATGTACCGTTTCTCTGTCAAGCAGCAGGCGTTAACTTCAGGGTCACAGAAAAAGTTTACAAGAAGAAATAAATATATTTCAGGACATTGTGACTAGCTGCTGACTCCCAGAAGTCTGGTTGTTTCAGGTGTTATCTGAGAGTGAAGAAGCACAGACTTTTCCCCTTGCTTCCCCGAAACTCCCCCTCTCTTAGTCTCTAGCCACATAAAAACTCTCTGCTTCTTTACTTAAGGCAAATTTGAGAGATCTTGCCCTCCTGCCTTCTTGTTTTGACCACATTAAGTAAACCTTTCTCTATTTCCAAGTACCTGTGTGTCGATGTTGGCATCAGCTGTTCGTTGGGTACGTGAACCTGAATTTTGGGTTCTATGTCAAGGTTGGGTGGTGAACGCACATACAGTTGAATTATAGAGACAATGATCGTATTTTCTGAATCTCAGGGCCAGCTAGTTCTGGTGTTTCATGAGTAGGAGACAGAGCTTAGATTCAATGATTTAGGTGTTGAGCAATTCAGGAATTTCTAGGACATTCTGGTAAAACAGAATATCTGATTGGGGTTAGCCATGGCGAATGCTCGCCCTTGTGAAATGTTGAGAAGGGAAGAGAGAGTGGGGATGGGTGGAATGGAGCCCAGGTGCTGGGAATAAGGCAATCTGTCTTTTGTGGAAGTCCTCAGTAGGTTGATGTGACTGTTGCTGTCCAACCTGGAAAAAGAAGACAGCGGCCATGGGAGGCATTTAGGATGTTGTCTCAGACTCTTCCCAAAGATGATCCAGGAATCCTGCTTCCCGGTGTTGTCCACAAAAGGGAGATGTGTTTGTTGTCTTGGCAGCATAACTCGGTGTTTTAAAACTTTTCTGATAAAACCTTTAACTGGAAATCAGCCCCATGGGGGACATTCTGAGATCTGACAGAGTGTGGCATAGCCATTACAACCAGGGACTTTGCAAATATACTGACGTGAACTTAATGAGCAGCTCT